ATACTGTTTTATCTAAGCTATATATTTGTCATCTCTCTTTGATCATTAATTTCCCTTTATTGTTACCTTTGTTTATTCATATTTAAATTTACGGTATCCTATAAATATCGGAGGCCTTGTGTGTACCTGCCTTTTCTCTGATTGTAACTCTGGACTGATTGTACTCGTCTCTGGTTTGATGTCAAGTAAACCGTTTACAATCGTACAAACCCCAATAAAGCATTGAGAACTTTACCCGCTGGTAAATTAATTATTTAACAAATAGCAAAATCCAAAGTTTTTAGAGACAAGCAAGAACGAATGATAATTTTCTCTGTATCGTATTTCTGATTCTTATCGATTCTCGTTCAGTCTCGAATATCGAGAGTATCGATATTTCGAAAACGATCACTGCATGGATCAATGGAATTTAAAATAGTGCCATGTATAGCGTGTATATCGTTCATATTCTTGCCATAATTGTTTCATAAGTGCCGTTTCAGACAGGGACGCAAAAGAGTCTCAAACCAGTTTATTGTGGGCGAGGGGACGACGAGGAAAGACGAAGGGACCGTGCCACTCGTGTTCGGGTGGCACGCTTTGTGTTCTTTTTCGTAACAGCTCGCTGCTACCCTTTTCAGCATTCCTTTTCACTTTCAAATCCTTTGAATGGTTGCAAGAGCGCTCGGTTTCAAATGAATTCGATCGCAAATTTGAGTTCTGTTATCTATTTTTGTATGTAATATTCCTATTATAAATTTGGCCTTGAAAATATTAGTAGCGGATATTCAATACATTCTTGTGGATTAGGGAATTCCCGTCTTTAGTATTTTTTTGAAACTATTTAGCGGGTAGGTACTTGTATTATGCATATTGTTCTACCATATTCATGGTAATTCATTGCAAGCAAAATGTGTGACCATCATCTCAACATACAAATGAAATACGCAGCACGCAGTGTTGCGCGGTGTTGCGCAGTCGAACCGCACAAATATTTACGAACATTTTGTGAAAAGGAATGCAGAAAAACTAGACTCGAGTTGCTGGACTCTTTTTGACCGTGTGAATGCCCAGAGCGACACCAAAAGAAAATTTGAAAAAGATCAGACTCTTTTGCATCCCTGTCTGAAACGGCACTTATAATACGAAGCTCTTTGAATCGGGAGAGCGATGTCAAAGTTTAAATTTTTTTTATAACATTTGACAGTGGTGCCACTAGGGTAAGAACTAAGTTTTGAGATTTCCTTTTTAAAGAAAATTACAAATAATTAAAATTAGTTTTATAAGCTAGATACCCTACATGAGGACTTAATATATGCACATATATATTTTAATCACAAAGGATATTCAATATATTTAAAGCTCAATATAACAAAATGTTTTAGTATTGTATTTCAAAACCATTACATGTTTTAAATATCCTCAACATCAACCTTACTTTTTTTAAATACTCAATAAACAAATATCTATTGATAATTTATTCGAAAGTTTAAGTTTAAATAACATTTGCGGGGAATTCTAACCGAATTATGTATATACGTTAACATTTGATACTGCAAAGCGAAATATTACCTTGGGACAAAATATCCGCTCTTTCTTAAAAACAAAACTATATTAAATCTCTTTAAATAAAGTTTAGAAACACACGTAAAAGTCACTAAAAAATCTGATCTCACTGCTTGAGATTGGAATATTGTTTAGGGTATAATCCCCCTCTAAGTGTGCATACGCTACGCTACGTTATATATATAGGCGTACTTATATACGTACATATGTACATATGTCAAGGAGTCAAGGACGCCGACTACCTATTACACATATGCACTCCGCTAGCTTATGCTCTTTTCCTGGAACATAATTAGTTTACATATATGTATATGTACATATGTTAAGCATAAGTGCATATATTTGTTATTACTTTTTTCGGTACATGTGCCGTTTTGACAAACAGGCATATAATTTATACATTTATATCGTGAAGACAGGTGGGAAACCAACAGATTTGTGAGGAATAATTCACTACCGTTGTATTGAGTGGACATATATGGTACATATATATTTGCTTCTTTAAATTTGCGTGCATTGGCGCACGCTTCGATTGTTCGCCTTGGGAACTAAATTCAGAACGCAGATTTCGATCCGGATAAAGTGGAGTGTGAGATCTTACTCAGCCGAGTATATCAACACTTCGATCGATTCATACAGCATCATTTTAATTTGGTCAGCAAGGCAAGGAATGATAAAGTCGCATTTCCTGACGACTTATTTGCACGATTTCCATGAATTTCTTTTTGCTCTCCTAACATCCTTTTTGTATGACCTAAAGAGGTTATAATAATAATCCCAGTCTGACTCGCCTTGGGATTGCTTAGCTAAATTGAACTGCTTTCTGCATTCTTTCTGTAGCTTTTTAAGTTCTAGAGACCACCAGGTTGGCCTTATTCTACCCCTGCTTCGTGTTATTGGACAAGCCACTTCTAGTGCTTGCCGGCACGATTCCGTGAGTCGATTAACGAGGATATCTAGATCCTCCTTGCTATTGGGCTGAAACGGTAGAATCATAGGGATACGTTTCTCTAGCTCTTGCATGTGCACCTATGATTCCTAAAGTTAATGCCTCTATCGGCCCTTTCCTCTATTGTACATTCGATATATCGGTGATTCGAAAAGGAATCTTCTTCGAGAACCCTCCATTGGGTTACCCTGTCAATTAGTTCTTCCGACACAAGTGTGATATCCAGCACTTCTTGCCGGTTTCTTGTAATAAATGTTGGCGTGCTTCCCTTATTACACACCAGTAACTTAGTACCTAGTAGGTAATTAAAGAGACACTCACCTCTGTCGTTTACATCTGTGCTGCCCCAGATTGTGTGACGCGCATTTGAGTCGCATCAAAGTATTGTCATGCACTTGGATGCCTCGCTATCTCGTACCACCTCTTTTACCATCAGAGGTGGCACCAGCTCCTGCTCATACGGCATATAGCACGACACTAGCCGGTAACTGCTTGAGCCCGTTTCCCAGCTTACTGCTGCTGTGTCGTTGTTGCTGTAATTATGTAATACAAAAAAATTAAGGTTTTTCTTTGCCATTATGCAGGCTCTGATTTTACCTTTACAGTTAGCCATCAGCAACTTATAGTTCGGCGTCCTCAGTCCACAAATACGCCCTCCATTAACCCATGGCTTCTGAATGAGGACAAATTCAGGTTGTTCCATTGCCACGCGGTTAATTAGGGCTGCTGAAGCTAGTTTGCTATGATGAAGATTAATATTTAGAAGACGCATTAACTATTGTTATATCTGCGTCTTCCTGAGAGTCGCTTAAAAGCTCTTCCTCAGTATAGAAGCTTGAGAGTCTGGCCGCAAGCTCAGACCCGCAAGAAGTACACTCACCTTGCTCCATACTTTCCGCGTCGCTCGAGGACTCCATAGGATCTTCCTCTACTTCGCATATCTCGTTCCCCGATACCAGATGGTCTGCAGCATCGGCGTCCGACTTGTAAGGCGTTATCCTTACTTTCGTGAACCCGTAATTTATCTCCCCGCCACTTTTCGCCAGCGGTTCGATGGATTCTTCCGTTAATAACAGCAGAAACTGCATCGTGGCCCTTTTGGTCTCCACGGCAGATTCTGCTACGCTGTCCTCAAATGTCTTGACATACTTCCACCCTTCCGTGGGTAGGCTCGGGTTGCAGGCTCTTATGAAATGCATAATTTGGTCCGGCTGTGATGGTGTAGCCGGAATCCATACCCTTGCCCTTGATCTGGATGGTATGTCCTTCTTGTCCACTACCAATTTTGCCCCGGGGTATACTTCTCCCACCTTGGCTATAGCAACTTTGTATAGAGCGACCGATCTCTCGTCATCGCAAGCAATCATTTTGATCTGACCCTAGTACCAGCCGGCATCTGCGCATGACGGTGGCGGACCCGGATTGCTTAATAGCACTTTCAGCGCCACATTTGTCAGCGCAGCCTGCACCCATTTCCATTGGGCTCTGGGGATTCTTCGTTTGGGATCTCCCTCATCCAGAACGCCAATGACAATTCGGTTCCGGGCCACTTCTGCAAATGATTTTGCGGGCGTTACACCCTTGGTCTTCGGTCTCTTAGCTGACGGCTTTGCCTCTTCAGCTGACCTCTGTCGCTTGGCTGCCTTTACCGGCGGCTCCAACTTGAAGTTGGGTATGACTGCTCTCGCGCAGTCAATCGATGCTTGGAGCTCCTGCGTTAGCTCCTCTTTCGTTGGCGGCTTTAACTCTACCAATCTTAGTAAGTATGCGGCGCGTCGTCTCTCCGCATATTTTGCCTTTGACGGGTCCTGAATGCTAAATGCAGGCCACTCCCTGGCAGATGCACTTTCGGCAGCAGCCCCTTTGGCATTTCCTCCCTTCCCCTGCTTCTTAGCCGTGTTTTGGCCGCAGGGTTTGGTTCTGGCTGCCTCCGGCGCTACCACTTTCTGTGGGCCAGCTTTAGCTTCTGCCCCTTTACTAGTGCTTGCCTTGTCTTCTGGACCAAGCTTCGGTCCTGTCCTCTTCGTGTTTGTTGAGCTCGCTCCAAACGCTGCTCTTTTATGGGAGCAACTCGCTCCCTCCGGCTTTTTTCCTGGAGATCCGGGCTCTCTCCGATTTTTTGTTTTCGTTATTTCGTTTTGTTTATTTACGTTTTGGTACATTGTTGGTCCCACGAGTGTGGGAGAAAGTATGTCCACTTGCGCATAGCCCCCGTTGCGCAAGTAAGGCTATCTTATTACGGAGGGCGCCAGGTATCCGTAAGCTCCGTTCGAGACTGGGCTATTTAAGGGCCCCCAGCCAGGTTGATCCTCGGCACGCGACGCATGACACCTTGATCCAGCCCAGCCCTTTACCCCCGACCATGGTAAGGCTCCTTATCTGTATGCTTTGCTATTGAGGAACATCGAACACACAGATAAGAAGTCTGACCTTAGCTAGATTCCTCACGTCTACGGCAGGGGCGGACTGTTACCAGCTCGTCCCCGCTTGTGTCGTGAATCTGTGGATTTTTTCCAACTTTGGCCTGCATTAATTGCCGATGGTATTGCTGCGGGACCCCGTGACGAACCGTGCGCGATCTGTACCCGCCTCGGTTGGGTTGTGTTCGGCCCTACAATGGTCAACGCACCAAATCATTTTAAACGTACTTTAACTGTCAGTAAATGTATAAGCGATCAGCAACTGGATAAACTACTGCAGAGATTTTCGAAGTTTGAGGAAGATGGTCCTGCCAACGAACTTACGGCAAATCCTTGATCAGCGCGCGGCCAGTTTTTCCATCTTGAGCGAAAATTATCTGAGGACACTGTGCTTCGTAACAATTACATCACGTTTATGCAGTCAGTGCCAACGCAACGCTACTACATACCCCATCATGCAGTCACAGGAAAATTTCATGTAGTATTCAACGCGTCTTGCAAAACCACTAGCGGAATGTCATTGAATGACACTTAATTTGCGGGACCACAGCTCCAAGATGTAATAGATATTCTTCACCGCTTTCGACGCTATCAGATAGCAATAACAGCGGATGTCAGGACAATATTTCGACAGGTCCCCTACATCGCAAATGGCAACGCATCTTGTGGAAGGAATCTCCAGTCGAACCACTACATAGCTTCGAGTTGGCTACAGTGACGTATGGCATGACAAGTAGCCCATGCAAAGCGATTCGTTCTTTACAGGACATAAAAACCAACTGCGCAGGGCTTACTGATAAAACAAAAGTGTAAATGAGTGATGGAAAGTATGTATATATTTAACCTCGCAAAAAATGATAATTTTTCAGAAAAAAAAATTCGTTTTAGTACATGTAAAAACACACATTTTGAGATATTTTCCAACAAAATTGGACCTCTTTTATAGAAAAGCCGCTATTCTGAACATTTTCCTTTAATACATACATTTTTACTTAATTTTAAAACATCAAGATTGGTTAAATAATTTTGTTAAACTAAAAAGTATATCAACTAATTATTTTTGAAGTTCAATCTGGTAACGTCTAAAGGCAGCACTTACCAAAACATGAATATTCTTCTAATGACAGAAATGTCAATTTTATGCAAACATCAATAATAACACGTGTGACTCTATAAAGAGCTCTAAAAATTAGATTGGAAAAATTTATAACAGTATGGTTAAACCAAAAAAAGCCAATTTAGTTCAAAATAAAAATGTAGCTTTGGAGAAGCAACTGGTTCAGGGAAAAATATCGAAGCGCAAAAACAAAGATAAGTTTCATTTGCGCGCAGAAGAAAGTTCGGTTAGTAAAACTTTGAAATTTCGAAAGGTACTCATTTTAGTGGATTTCAATTATTTCAGGTGTTGGATAGCAAAACAAGTAAAAAAATATTAAATGCTGCAAAAGCACAACAGTTGGAACTTAACGACGATAATTTCCCTAGCCTAGGGGGGAAAAAAGTTTACACTCATGTCAAAATAGGTTAGTACAAGTAATCAAATACATACTTACGTTTGGTAAAAACAACAAATTTTTAGGAGAAATTGCTGAAGAGGACGAAAATAAAGAAGTAACTGAAAATGACTTTATGGATAATTTAGAAATCGATGAAGAAGATGCCAAAGCATTCGAACGATTTCAAAATCCCCAAGAAGGCAAACGAACATTAAAATTATCTGATATTATATTGGGAAAAATTCAAGAAAAACAACAAGACATTCAGAGCAAACTCAGTGATAATGGATCTCTTAATATAGAGGATATAGACCCTCGGTAAGAATATTTTTATACAATTTTATTTAGTTATCTCAAATTGAGCAGATGTGTCAAGATACTTATGTATGTTATAAGTGTGCTTTTACACACAGACTCTTTTGTAACCCAAACCGGTTTATTGTGGGCGAGGGGACGACGAGGAAAGACGAAGGGACCGTGCCACTCGTGTTCGGGTGGCACGCTTTGTGTTCTTGTTCGTAACAGCTCGCTGCTACCCTCTTAAGCATTCCTTTTCACTTTCAAATTCTTTGAACGGTTGCAAGACCGCTCGGTTTCAAATGAACTCGTTCCAAAATTTGAATTCTGTTATCTATTTTTTCTATGTAATATGCAAATATGTATGCACAGAATAATAGAAATATTTTGAAACATTGTAAATAAGGAGAAAATTAAGATACTCAAAAATATTCAATTTACATTTATAATAACATATAGCGGTATTAAATGTAATAATGTACCAGTATACATAAAATAATTCTAATAAAAATGGTAACTTTACTTTTTTTATATCATTATTCATGGTAATTCATTGCAAGCAAAATGTGAGATCATCATCCCAACATACAAATGAAATATGCAACACGCTCTAAGTGTTGCGCACCGAACCGCACAAATATTTTCGAAAATTTTATGAAAAGTAATGACAGAAAAACTCGATTTAAGTTGCTGGACTCTTTTTGCTCGTGTGAATGCACAGAGCGACATCAAAAGAGAATTTGCCAACAATGAGGGTCAAAAGAGTCCCAATGTAAAAGCAGATTAACCGATTTTTTATTTTTTATGGTATAAAACTTGGGTATATTGTATAAATGCTTCGAACCACCTCCATATAAGAGTATTGTTCCACATTTTGGGGAAACTTTAGTATACCATCCTACGATTTCAGGGTTAAGAGGGGGTTCTCCAGATAAAGAATATATATAATTATAGCCGCCGGAAACTAATATTTTTCGAGATATTTGCATTTTAAGTCGAAAAATTTCACAAATTTTACCTTACAATTTCTCTAATTATAGTTATTTTTTCTTTTATATTATGCATTTTATCTCACAATTTCTCTAATTATAGTTATTTTTTTTATATTATGCACTTATTATACACTTACACTTCACTACAATGTTTCTACATATTTATTTTATATTAATTATTTTAATATTTGCTTTAAATAAACATTTTATTTTTACACAATTTTTGTTATATGCACAATAACAAATGGGTTCCATATTGACAAATAATAAGTATTGCCATATCTATTATATATATATATGTATTTATATTTTGCAAACGAATTAAAATTAATAATAGTATATTATACCCCAAATACATGAACCATAATTTTAATCGTTTCCTTCTCTTGATCAACCGTGGTATTGGATTGGCCAGTGTTATTTTTTTTTAAAGCGCGGCATAAAGACATAGAACGCGAAAGGGATAACGACCATCCCGGGGTTGGATCGGCCAGGGTTGATTTTTTGAAGCGCGGCCGAAGGCCGCCAATGCAGAAAGAAGTTGGACGAGAAAGGAATAACGAACACCTCCCCGTGTTGGATCGGCCAGGGTTATTTTTTGGAAGCGCAATACAAATAAAAAATCTAACAAAAAAAAAAGTAATGTTAAAGAGGGTATCTCTCTTTAAATTTCATTTTCTATAACGGATTATAACGGATATTGTTACAACTAAACAAGGTACCGTTTCTTTTTTTTTATCCGTTTTGTCATTGTATTGGATTGGTAAATATTGTGCATATAAGTAAATTTTGTAGAGGGTAATTGGGTATGTTATTTATTTTGATTGCTTTCATTCGTTTGAATATGGCAACACTTATTATCTGTTAACATGGAATCCATTTGTTATTGTGCATTTCTTTTGCGTCCAACTTCTTTCTGCTTTGGCGGCCTTCGGGTCCACTTAGTTGAATTGAAGTTAAAGCAATAATTTTAAATGAAAACTCAAAACAAAACAATTCAATTAATTCAAAATTATGGAATCATTTTGTTTTTTACTAAATGGGATGAAGTACCAGTACGACAAACTTTTCGTTTCTTTGTTGACGGTAGCTATCAAAAAAGTAGTTTAAATAATTTTAACTTTGGGCTGGCGCAGACTACGATATTTATGGTTGTTAAGCAGCATTTAATTTTTGATTACTCTATTTGTGCGCAGAGGAAAAAACACAAATGGTTGAAGAAGAGCAAAACGCTTCAAAATATTTACTTTTATTCAAAAAGGATATTCCTAGGAATAGTATATCGACTCATTATGGTTAAAATTAATTTTATTTTTACTGTCTTCAAATTATTGCTTGTCTCGTCTAGTTTGGAGATTTTTTCTTCACGAGCTCAATAATTTTTTCACCTTCTTATGTATGATTAAACTAGTTTATTATTATATACAAAATAGTTCATTTACCCGTTATCCATTTGCTATTAATATTTTTCCTAAATTAACGCAGTAATGTTCAACTACAACACCAACATCTCGGTAATTTTTTGATATTCTAGTCAACCCCACTGGCTAGGTTAGGTTAGGTTAGGAGGTAGATCCCAAGAAGGATCTCACTTGGACGGCTTAAAACGCCGGTCCATTGTGATACCTAAAAGCTCCTATAATCTGGATCAAAAGACTCTTACAAGTTGATAAAACCTTTGTGTTTATAACAAACTTGTTAAGACGGCCAATATCCATTTCGGCTAAGTATTCTGGCCCGCCGAAAGTGTAGTTGTCGAGATATGTCAATCTCAGCCTGGCGAAAGCCGGACAGTGGAGGAGAAATGGCCGGGATGTTTCCACCTCGCCCTCCTCCATACAACTTTGGCAGCTAGCATCGGGTAGTACTCCAAGCCGTATCGCATGAGTGCGGAGACAAATGAGACAATTCCCATAACAGCCGGTTCTGCGATACCGGAATTGACCCGGATTTTATCCGGCCAAGGGCTGTTATTTCGGCGATCTAACCCTGTTTGGATCGGTGAGTTTTAGATTAAGTTTGTCGTCATTGAAGCAACGCCTAGCAGCAGGGTTGCTCCGTATCCTCCTAACCCGTGCTGGCATCGAGTCTAACCCGGGCCTCGAGGAATTTTACTGCTGCATTTGCGCTAAAAGGCTCCATCCAAACTCCACCTCGCTTAGGTGCAATACATGCAATGGATGGAGCCATCTTAAGACCTGTTCAGGCCTTAAGACACACAGGGAGTGGACCACAAGTTACGTGGCCCCATGCTGTCAACGCAATAATGCGACATCTGCCTCAACGGCTGTGCAACCTGCACCATGTTCGCGCACTGCGCTGCCACTCCAGTCGAGTGGCCAAGATAGGACCTCCACGGCCCTAAGGAGCTCACACAGACAGCATGACTCCCAGTCTGACCAACCGAGAGCACCTTCAACGCCTGAGTAAGCTTTGGACTACTGTCAATGCCCTGTCAAATCCGAGAAGAAATGACGATCGGGGTGAAATTCAATTCGATGGCCATGCCTCCTCGGACCCGAAGAAGTGCGCGAGCTATTTCAGCCGGCAATTTACACTGCACCCTTCGACTGACAAGGCCAAACGACGTGTTACCCGACGGCTGCGCAAAATGCCAAAAGACTGCGCACCACTTTCACCGATGGGGAGGTTTAGAGTGTCATCAAAAAGGCGAAATCGTCTAAATCCATTGGCCCTGACGGAATAAGCATGCTGATGCTAAAACACCTAGGCCCAACGGGAGTAAGTTATCTCACCAAGGTCCTCAACCTGTCGATATCCACTCTTCAAATACCCGATGTGTGGAAAGTCGGAAGAGTGGTCCCACTACTGAAACCTGGGAAACCCGCCAACAAAGGGGAGTCTTATCGCCCGATAACTCTCCTTTCCCCAGTAGTGAAGACGCTTGAGGCCTTGTTACTCCGGTCATTCACTCACCACCTGAGCCTAGCAGATCATCAGCATGGCTTCCGAAAAGTGCACAGTACCACCACAGCACTTAGCGTCATAAACGCCCAGATAGTTCATGGCCTGAACCAGAAGCCACCCTGCGAGAGGACGATTCTCGTAGCGTTGGAATTGTCAAAAGCTTTTGACACAGTCAATCACACAACGCTACTTGAGGACCTAGAACAATCAACGCTCCCCCCAGGGCTGAAGCGGTGGACTATGAACTACCTGAGCGGTCGGCACTCATCCGTACTGTTTAGAGGTCAAAACTCCAAACTTAGGAAAATTAAACAGAGGGTTCCACAGGGCGGTGCCTCTCCCCACTACCGTTTAATTTTTATATTTCGAAACTCCCCCAGCCACCAGCGGGAATTTCAGTGACCTCGTACGCTGATGACTGTATGATATTGACGTCGGCAAATGGAATCGATGGCATGTGTTCAAAAGTAAACAGCTACCTCTCCGATCTTTCTCGCTTCTTCTCTACAAGGAACTTAACACTCTCTCCCACTAAATCCACAGCGACTATCATCACAAATTGGACGAAGGAGTACAGACTGGACCTAAACATTTCAGTCGATGGCACAAAAATTCCGACAGTCAATAACCCTATAATTTTAGGCGTCACTTTTTACAGTCTATGCTCTTTCACTCCTCACACGACCGCGATAATTGCCAAAGTACAGAGCCGCAACAAAATCCTCAAGTCGCTTGCCGGCAGCTCTTGGGGAAAAGACAAAGAAACGTTGTTGGCAACATACAAGGCAATCGGTCGGCCGGTCCTAAATTACGCAGCCCCAATATGGTCGCCTGGATGCAGTGACACGCAGGTGAAGAAGCTCCAAACCTGTCAGAACACTGCACTCCGGACTATCACGGGATGCCTCTTGATGTCTCCAATCGAACACCTACATAGTGAGGCCCGTATGCTTCCGGTTAAGGAACACAACGAACTCCTCTCCAAGCAGTTTCTACTGGGGTGTTTTTGTAGAAACCACCCCTGTAGTCGCCTGCCTGTAGCGGAGCCGCCTCCTAGGAACATCAAGAGGTCTTTTCTTTGATTACGTCGACAACATTAGACATTACGCCGACCGGACTTCGGACGCAACGAACTTCAGACAGGCACTGACCGCCATTCACAGTGGAGCCATCAACACTTCCACAGACTCCCTCTCAGTGAATGGTGTAATAGGAGTCAAACCACCACCCATAGCAGACGCAGAGCTCGAGTTGCCTCGCGAAACCAGAGTGACCCTCGCGCAACTTCCTTCTGGATACTGTAGCAGGTTAAACTCCTACTTATCCAGAATTGACCCCGACATACCAAACACATGTCCTGCGTGCAATGAGTCTCCGCATGACACTAACCACCTCTTTGCATGCCCAACAAACCCTACTCATCTAACACCCTTCTCCCTATGGTCCGACCCTGTCGAAACAGCTCGTTTCCTGGACTTCCCGTTAGATGACCTCGACGACAACGAATCTGGAATTTATCACCCAAACGGAGACTAGGTAACCGTTACAACAACAACAACAACAGTGCCAAAAAAAAAAAATTAAGGCTGCTCTTACGGTTTTCACCCCAACTTTTTGGTTGATGTTTTAAAATCCGGTATTATCGATATTAACTCAACCCGTCGAACAAAATTTCGGTGGAAGTGTTGTCAAACATAAATTTTTATGTGGTATTACGGTTTTCAACTCTGTGCCAGTGAGGTTGACTAGATGAGTAGTAATCAAGAAAAAACGTTTACTTCGGCTGTATCGCTATAATACTCTTCACATATAAAAAAATTCAAAAAAATTGATTGATTAATAGGTGAAGCGCTGTTAGTTCCAGCATTTCTCTAGGGCCTTTGCCACATTTTCTTGAGACGTATTGTCAAAATCGATCTCATTTTGTGATCTATGCTCTTTTCCATACTTTTCAGAAGGAAGGAAGTGAGACTTATTGACCTAAAGGATTTCGCCAGTGAATAGTCCTTCCTTCTTACTTTGGGTATGAAGATCACCTTTGCAGTCCGCCATGGCTCAGGGATATACGTCAACGCTAGACTATCTCTCATCAGCCGAACAAGGTGGGCAATAAGACTTGCTCCCCAGGTTGCAGAACATTTTCACAGAATTTTCTACAATTTTGCTGATATGTAAACCTAATCTCTTTAAGTGTAAGTAGTTAATACTCCTCCCAGTTCACCGTACACTTAGCTTTGCTAAAAAGCAACGCGCACAGAGGCAGGGAAAGCACTGCTGCCTCTAACCCGAGCGATCTTTTTTGCTTCCTTAAGAGTTCTTCCCTCCTGGAGTTGCGGTAGGGCATCCAGGAAGCTAAAATTACGTCTGGTTCCGGATAAAATTCCAAGAACGTTTCGGTTACGTAGATTCGACTGCGGGAACGGCCGTTGTCCATCATTGTTTGCTGTTGTTGTTTTTGTCCTTTTTTGGTTCAACGCGGTGAGCTGCCGGGTCAACATTTATTAAGGGAACGCAAAGGACTGGCGCCCCTTCACCCGATGTTGGGAAGGCTTCGTTCGAATACAGCCGAATAAACCTCCTGGCTGCAAATCATCCAATGGGCACGGGAGTCGCATAACACCCTGGATAAGGAGGTCGCAGCTTCTGGTTGTCTCACGCATACGGTGCTAGCCATTCGCGGAGGAACTGAACTAGTTCGCAGATATACAGACAGAGGGACGGACGGACAGGCAGACGGACATGGCTAAATCGATTCAGCTCGTCATGCTAATCATTTATGTATATATATATTTTATAGGACCTCCGACGTTTTCTGGGTGTTACAAACTTCGTGTCAACGCAGTTGTAGTTGTAGTTAAACAATACTGGATTTATTTGGGAAATATTTAATATAAAATGGAAAATGGGTAAAAAAATCGATTATTTTGTAATGGAAAGAAAGGAGAAAAATGTCAATTTTAATAATTATTCACCTTTTCGTTGCTTTCATTATACTTTCGCAACCGGTTGCTAAAGAGTATAATAGTTTTGTTCACCTAACGGTTGTTTGTATCACCTAAAACTAATCGAGTTATCCCTTCCGCTTTTTTTTGAATTTCGCGGCTATGTACAAAGCGCTACAGAGCTCGTATCTGGCAACACTATACATAATTTGAAAGGTCTTGACATAACCTACAAAACAACGCTATGCATGATTAGTTTGGATATTGCGTTCAACAGTTATAGACGTGTAAACATGGAGTTCACTAACGCCGAAATTCGCGCTATTTTAAAGTTTTCCTTCGTTAAAGACAAATCCGCTAGAGAAACGTTCCGTGAGATTAATGGTGTTTTGGGGGATGGTACTCTATCACTTCGAACCGCGGAGGAATGGTTTCGACGATTCAGAGCCGGTGAAAACGACGCCATGGATAAGCCAGCCGGCGGAAGACCTGTGACGACAAATACCGATCAAATCATGGAATACATCGAGTTAGACCGGCATATGGCATCTCGTGACATCGCATAGGAGATGGGAGCTAGTCACCAAACCATTTTGAACCATCTGCAGAAGGCTGGATACAAAAAAAAGTTTGATGTTTGGGTGCCGCATAATTTGACGTAAAAAAACCTTCTGGACCGAATCAACGCCTGCGATATGCTGCTGAAACGGAACGAACTCGTCCCATTCTTGAAGCGGATGGTGACTGGCGACGAAAAATGGATCACATACGACAATATCAAGCGAAAAATCGTCCCAAACAGTGGCCAAGCCGGGATTGACGGCCAGGAAGGTTTTGCTGTGTGTTTGGTGGGATTGGAAGGGAATCATCCACTATGAGCTGCTCCCATATGGCCAGACGCTTAATTCTACCATCTACTGCGAACAACTGGACCGCTTGAAGCAGGCGATTGACCAGAAGCGTCCAGAATTGGCCAACAGGAAGGGTGTAGTGTTCCACCAGGACAACGCCAGACCACACACTTCGTTGATGACTCGTCAGAAGCTACGGGAGCTCGGATGGGAGGTTTTATCGCATCTACCATATAGCCCGGACGTAGCGCCAAGTGATTACCACCTGTTCCTGTCCATGGCGAATGCCCTTGGTGGTGTGAAGTTGAACTCAAAAGAGGTTTGTGAAAAGTGGATGCCGAATTCTTCGCAAATAAGGAGGGGGGCTTCTACGAGGAAGGTATTATGAAGTTGCCGTCTAGATGGAAACAAATCATCGAACAAAACGGCGCATATTTTAACTAAATCCGATCACTGTAACACTTTTTATAAAGCATTGAATGAAGAGCAAAAAAGCGGAAGGGAGATATTTGACAACCTTATATAAATGATCAGGATGAAGAGACAAGTTGAAATCCGGGTGACTATCTGTCCGTCCGTCCGTCCGTGCAAGCTGTAACTTTAGTAAGAATTGAGATATATTTATGAGACTTGGTACAAATGTTTCTTGGTACCGTAGACGGTTGGTATTGCAGATGGGCACATTTGGACCATTGCCACGCCCACAAAATGCCATTATTCAAAAACAAATAAATTGCCATAACTAAGCTCCACAACAAGATACAAGACTCTTATTTGGTATACAGGATCACAATAGGGAGGGGCATCTGCAGTTAAAATTTTGTTTTAAGTGGGCGTGGTCCCGCCACTAATAGATTTAATGTGCATATCTCCTAAACCGCTAATGCTATAATAACAAAATTCAATGGAAGCAAATGTTTTTAGAACCTCTACCTACAGTTGAAATCGGGTAGCAACTCCGCCCACTCCCCATGTAACGGTACTATTAAAGACTACTAAAAGCGCGATAAATCAAGCACTAAACACGCCAGAGACATTAAATTGTATCTCTGTGGGCGTGGCACATCCCACTTCTAGGTGAAAACCCATATCTTGAGATCTGCTTAACCGATTTTAACCAAATTCGGTGCATAACGTTCTTTTCATATTTCTATGTAATAGTGCGAAAATGGGCAAAATCGGACTGCAACCACGCCTATTTCCCATATAACACCATTTTCAATTCCATCTAAATCTGTCACTTTCCACTATGCATATCAAGCAAAAATGATTGTATCGGGGTAAAACTTTGTGTGAATAATGCGTTTGAAGTATGCCACCTTGTGACCAAAAATTGTCTAAATCGAGTAAAAACTGTTCAAGCCGCTAGGTAATGAATATGTGGACCACAGTGCCTATAGCTGACTTTTTACCGAAAATATCGGTCAACATAGAACAAGGCGGCAAGATCCACAAAGAAATCTAAAACGAGTATACCATTTGACTTTGCGAGAGTATAAAATGTTCGGTTACATCCGAACTTAGCCCTTCCTTACTTGTTAATAATAAAATCGAAAATTGTTCTATATTTAACAGAATTCAATCTTTTCAGTGTGCGTGAAATGTATGAAGGAGTTAGAGATGTAATGAAGCGATATCGAAGTGGGAAAGTGCCGAAAGCCTTTAAAATTATTCCAAGATTGCGAAATTGGGAACATATTTTATTTATAACAGAACCCCATAATTGGAGTGCTGCCGCTATGTTTCAAGGAACTCGGTACGTATATCTTAAATTGTATAACAGTGTGTACATAAATATGTATTTGCGTTTTCATTATTTTCACTACATTTAAAAATTATTTGAAACAAGTCAATAGTTATGTTCAAGTACATAATCATGAACACATAGTAAAAACCATGATTAAATTCTTAAGTTTGATAAATAACGACAGCAACGTTTTGACACAAAAAAAAAAAAAATTTGTTTCCGAAGGAGTGAAACGAGCCACAATTTTTTTCGCTTTAATAAAAAAGTAATTATAATATATATATAATATAACCAGTATAATCAGTCTTTCAGCATTATTTTTATTTATATGGTATGAGGTTCTATAATTTCAAATCAGGTATCAGGTCGTTATTCGTTGTGAAATACGGAAATTTTAAATAATATCTGGTAACTAAATAAATGTTAATTTAATCACATATATGTATATTATTATTTTATAGATCTATTATTATTATTTCATTGTACCGAAATCAAGCTAGTATTATATATGTAATGAAAATATTAGCAATGCATATGAACGAGTATGTTCTGAACAGCATTAGCCGGTTCTTCGTCAATCCGTTAGCTCCTGATTCGTGCTGGCATTGATTTCAACTTGGACCCAGAGGAATTTTTCTACTGCATTTGCACCAAAAGGCCTCATCTAAACTCCACTACTTAGCCAAGAGCTCAACTCGGCTGCATGACTTCCAGCCTGATCATACCCCTCCCCAACCTTCATCCTTCAGTGTTCGTGTCAGACCACCATACGTCGGAACATCACATCAGTCAAGTGCAATTCCTGCAATGGATGGTGTAATTTCCTGAAGTGTTTCCGCCTGCATATCACGCGTGAGTGGAGTGTGTGGTTCGTTGCCTTTTGCTGCAAGAGTATGCCCCCGCTACACACTACAATTGCGTCGCCAAATAACTCCAAAGCACGACATCCACCATCTACAGACTGAAAAGTTCTTAGTTACGCCGCTTTTAACGTCATACGTAAAGATCGCAAGCAAGATAATGGAGGAGGCCTAGCCTTCATACTGCCAAACAGAGCAATATTGTTTTATCGTCGGCGACATCGACCACAGGGATACTACTCTAGAATGCTGCGGCAGGCAATGTCGAGCTCGAGACATTTATATACGTCATATATACGTACATATGTTCATCCTCCCAGTTACATGTTGCCCAACGGAATATCACTAGAAAATAGGTGCGCTGCTTGGAGCTAGACAAATTTAACCCGCAATACGATCTCTGGCATACCAGTCTGTCAAATGATCGTACCTGTTGAATAACTATCCAATTATAAAGAAACCCGACAATCGGGTTGAAATTCATATCGGTGGTCATGCTTCTTTGGGTCCGAAGAAATGCACGAACTATTATAGCCGGAAAGTAAGCGGGAGTAATACATCTAACCTAGGTCCTCAATCTGTTGTTGGCCACTCTTCATATATCCGATATTTGGAAAGTCGGAAGAGTGGTCCCACTACTGAAACCTGGAAAACTCGCTAATCTAGGGGAGTCTTATCGTTAGATTACTCCTTTCCCCAGTAGTGAAGACACTTGAGGCCTTGTTACTCCAGACATTCCCTCAACATCTGTAGTAACATCAACATGGTTTCCGTAATGTGTACAGCACCACCACAGCACTTAGCGTCATAAACGTCAAGTTAAGTAGTGATCTACAATAAATCAAATACCATCCTGTGAGAGGATGATCCTAGTAGCTTTGGACTTTTGACACAGTTAATATAGCACACTGCTATATCGAACAATATACGTTCCCTTCAGATCTGAAGAGGTGGACCATGAATTATATGAGCGGTCGGTTAGGTTAAGAGGTCGATCCTAACAGGGATTTAATTTGGACAGATTAATACGAAATTGACGTCGAGCAATTGTCCTTCTCTTCAACCCTGAAAATTTTTTAATGTGTTCTGGTAGTGTCAAAAGCATTTGAAATGTTCGACGTTACTAGGACTGTCTTCTACAGAGTGCTTTTTGATTTAGGCAACCACGCCTCATCAAGGGTGCAGTATAGATACCGGCAGTTCATATCCTTTTCCGGGTCTGAGAAGACATGACCATCGAACGGAATGTCATCATGTCTCCTTAGTTGAATAGAAACTAGTTAAATGTGCAAAGCTTCTACAGCAGCGGGGGGGGGGGGGCTAGATGGCTTCAGGTGCTCAATCTATACAAGTCGTTTATACTGATTTACCAGCTGTCGAATCTCCAATTAAAAATTCCATATGTGGGTATCACAGGGATCGACCTTAAAGTCGGAGATAATGCAGTATACGCAGTTGAGGTCGTCGCACTGTGGTGTTGTTTTACGACCAAAGAATAGGTGGTTGCGGGTATATACTTCAGCAGCACACTGGGAATAGGCTGCAAGGGACCAAGGGTTGCGTACTGATCAGACTGGAAGTCATGCTGTTTACTTCAGCTGCTGAGGAACGTTCATCTCCTTTGTTGGCTAACAACAACAGTCTCAACTCAGTGGAAGTGTAAGTCAACCGGGCCCGGCATGAACTCCATCCCAGTACAAATAAGGAATTCTTCTGAGCCATTGAAAGGACCAACAACACTCAGTGGAAGTGTCATGATAGTCGGGCCCGGTATAGATTCCATGCCAGCACGAATTAGGAAGATATAGAGGAAACAGATCGCTGAAAGGACAGCCCTGGCTGAATAAAATGCTGGTCGATTCCGGTAACGTAAAACTAGATATCATGAATAATGCAACCTTACTTGCTTCTTTTGCCAATTCATTAGAATTATCTCTGGGTGTATTAGCTTTTTTCAATCGCACCTAGCTTAGATCCAATACACGAAGTGAACGTAATATCCTCTCGATATAACATACATAACCGAAAATGTATATAAACGAAACATTGAATTCAATTTTATAATAAACAAGTAAGGAAGGGCTTAGTTCGGGTGCAACCCGCAAGATAAAGTAATATATGGGATTTTCGTATATATTTTGATTAAAAGTAGGAAGTTTTGCATTCATTATTTTTGATCACAGGCAAGAAGATACACTGTCATTAGAAAGAGATTCTATTAAGATATCTTAAATATTGGCCAATTTCTGGAATTTTTTTTTATTTGTATATAAGTAAGTAAATTTAGATAATTACAAAATATTCAAAACTAAGAAACCACTTTCGTCACTTTGAAGTTTCCCAATTGGTGCATGAACGGATCAGTTATCAATAAGCAAAACAGCCTTCGGATGCAAATTATGATCTAAAAAAAAATTATATAGGGGCTAGGTCAAGTTTTTACTCGATTTAATCTATTCTAGCCACAAAGATGTACCATTGTTAGAAAAACACGCACATTCAATTTTGTTAAGATAACTCACATATTGGCCGATATATGAGATATAAAGTCAGCCGGAAGCTCGAAAATATTTCTATTAGGCTTTAAGGGGGCTAAGGGAAGTATTGACCCGATTCTACCCCTTTTTTAAATATGGATATACTATTGTAAGGAAAGGATTCTCGAATTTCAATTATATCTCACACATTGACCGATATTTTCGGTGAAAAGTCAGCCATAGGCCTCAGGGTCCACATCTTCGGTATTTGGAGGTTGGAACAGTTAGGGTCCGATTTTGACAATTTTGATACGAGATGGAAAACCCTTGAGGCATTATTTGCTTAAAATTTTATCCCGAAATATTTATTGATGCTTGATTTGTATACTGGAAAGTAAAATAATCAAAGGGAATTTAAAAATATGTTATATGATAAGTAGGCGTGGTTGCTGTCCGATTTTACCCCTTTTCACACTGTAACAAAGTGTAATGTGTCCTACCAAATTTGGTTGAAATTGGTCGAGTAGGTCCGGAGACATGTTATTTGCCCTAAAGGTAGGCGGTGCCACGCCCATCGTCCACTTTTAACGAGTGCCTCGGACGCATTTAGTTTTTGATTTATGGCACTTTCGGTAGAATTTAACAAAATCGTTATATGGGGAGTGGGGTTATCCTCCGATTTCATTTCACACTGTTGTGAGGTGTAAAGAGGTCTCGAATGGATTTGTCCTATATTAATTTTGGTGATATATCTCGAGTGTTTTGGGAGTTGTTTACATTAAACCTATTAGGAGGCGGGGCAACGCCCACTGTTCAAAGTTCTTCAAGCCAAATTACAGTTTTATTATCTTATTTTACAGCTTAGTTACGGCATTTAAAAGCTTTTGATTAATCGCGTTTTGTGGCCGTGGCAGTGGTCCGATTTCGCCAATCATCAATTTTTATTAATAGATCACAATCACCGATATGTATAGACCGATTTTATTCATATTCAGTTAGTGAACCACAACATAACTGTTTTTGTTAATACAGAAGGGTGTCAAAAAAGAGCGTTTATTTACCAAACCTTTAATTACAATATTAAATCACGAAAAACTACTTATAGCTTAGAATACATATTTTGAAAGTTGTTTATTGTTGTTAGAATCCCAATATTAGTACATCGCCTAACTTCCACTAACTAACCAATCACTTTTGAAAATTGTATTTGCAAGTTATATATTTGTGTATACACTTATTTATGGACATTATAATTTTTATAGTGTTACTATTTAACATTATTTCAGTATATTTTGTTCAGTTCTCTCGCACGCAATGGCTCAACGATTTTATAATTTGGTTTTGTTGCCGAGGATAAGAGACGATCTATGTGAATATAAAAAATTGAATATGCATTTGTATAATGCTTTAAAAAAAGCACTGTTCAAACCAGCTGCTTTTATGAAAGGTATAATTCTTCCTTTGTTAGAGTCTGGCGATTGCACATTGCGAGAAGCAATTATATTTGGAAGCGTTATCGCACGTAGTTCGATTTCCGTATTGCATTCGTCAGCATGTTTACTCAAAATATGTGAAATGGGATATACAGGGGCAAATTCAATATTTATTCGCTACTTCCTTGACAAGCGTTATGCATTACCTTACCGTGTTATCGATGCTGCCGTATTTCATTTTATTAGGTAAGACGTTACATTTTTTGTTATTATTTATAATAAATTTCTACGAATATATGCAGATTTGAAAATGATAAACGTGAAATGCCTGTATTGTGGCATCAAAGCTTATTAACTTTTGCCCAACGTTATAAAAACGACATTTCTTCTGAGCAGAAAGAAGCTTTGCTTAATTTATTAAGGTAAGAACATGTTTCGTTCACCAAATCCATTTATATATATAATAATTTTATGATTTCAGAAAGCAATCACACCCAAAGATTACACCTGAAATTCGAAGAGAACTTTTGGCCTCAAGTTGTAGAGATATCGAAATGATGGAATATAGCAATGAAACAGCTGCAATGCCAGTACAAATATACACTGATAAAGATGTTTGCTATGAGTGTGCTTAATTATTGCTAGTTATCAACAATTAACCAAGTTTTTTTGGAAAAGCTTTTCGTTACCCAAAAAACTAGCAGAAGAGAGCACAAAATGAGAACGTAAGAAGCAGAGAGAGCTGCTAATTTCTGAGCTTAGCGAAAATTCAACTAGCAGAAATTAGCTGCTGTCATATGAAAACATACTTTGATTTCATCAATTTCTAATAGTTTTGAATTGTTAAGATAAAAATGAGATATTCGTTAAATAATGAGGAATACATAAAATGTGAGTGTTCGAAATTATTAGAATTAGAAGTAAATGATAACATAAAGATAAATATGCATATATTAATTAGTATATTGAATTTTTATTTTAAAAATGAATTCGTGGGCTAGTTTTAGTTGATGTTGTAACGATTACCCAGACCCTCCTCAAGGGAAAGCAATAAGTTAACTGTCATCAAAACCACCTAACGGTAGGTCCAGGAAATGAGCAGTACGACGGGTTCGGGACATCGGGAGAGGGAAGTTAAGTTAGTTGCTTTCATTGGGCATGCAAAGAAGTATTTAGTGTCATAGTAGGAGCTACTATACCCAGAACGAAGTTGCGCTAGGGTCACTTTTGTTTACGCGGCAAATAGAGCTCTTGTTCTTCAATAAGTGGTGCTTGGACTCCGTGTTGCAGGAATGTTCTCCTGATGTTCCTAAGAGGCGTCTCCGCTTCAAGCAGGTTACTGCAGGAAACTGGGAAAACTCTTGAGGACTGCTTGGATATGTGTGTAATGCTCCTTTACAGGGAATGTCGCGGTCCAGTTGGTAAATAGGGTGGCCGTGGATTTGGTAGGGAAGAGTTTTAGGCTCCTAGCAGTGAAGAAGAGAGAAAGTTCTATGAGGTAGTCGTTCACTTTTAAACACATGCCATTAATTCCATAGCCCGATGTCATTATCGTACAATCATCTGCGCATGAGGTAATACCATCGCGCAAATCTTGCAACATTTTAGAAGCAGTTGCACAAAAAATTATACCAAAACCAACTGTGTTAGCTAAAATGTCAGTAAGTGATTTATATTATATATAATTCTTATATTAATATTTTTATTATGTTTGTGGACTTTTTTTTAATTTTATAGGATATAGTAGAAAAAGATTGCGTCAAGTAATTATTAAGCTAATTTCGTCAAAGAGTGCGGACGTGTTTTTTAATTCGCTCAGGGAATGTTTAAACAAATCAGATGGAATTCAAATAAACCTCAGAAAGTGATACAAATCAATAAAAAACAATAGTAGGAAAGTAAAAATCAAAACAAAACATTATTTATACAATAATAAAAGTAAACAAAAAACAAATAATGAGTGCACAAAAAAAAAAAAAAAATAAAAAACAATAACTCACCATGAGTGCTGCGCAGTCTCTCCAATAAGGCGGAAAGCATTCCATGAATGCCTATTTTAGTTTTGTCGACTCAGCAACAATACCTAATAGCAAAAAAACAAACGGTGACAAAAATGAGTTATCGCAGCGATCATAGCCGTGCTGGCATCGACTTGCTCAGGCCTTAAGACCCACAGGGAATGAACAACAAGTTCCGTGGGACCATGCTGTCAACGCACTACTGCGACACCTGCCTCAACGGCTGTGCAATCTGCAGCATGTTCGCGCACTGCGCCGCCATTCCAGTCGAGTGGCCAAAAAAGGACCTCCAGCTAAGAAGCTCACACAGGCACCATGACTCCCAGTGGAGGCCTAGCCTTCATACTGCACAATACCGTGCAATATCGTCTAATCGCTATTGACATTGACCGCAAGGAAACTACTTTTGAATGTCAGGGTATAGCTTGAGATATTTAATATATACAAGTACATCGCTCCAGTTACATGTTGCCCAACAGGATATCACCCGAATATAGGTGCGCTACTTCGTGGTGAAAACCGTTTGGTGCTAAGCGACTTTAACGCCATGATCCTTGGTACTCCTGCCTGTCAAACGATCGTAGGGAAATGGAGCTGGCGGAACAGATTGACGATTCGACATTCTACATAATGAATCACAAAGTCCCCACCAGAATTATGGGCACCTTTAATAGCTCGCCAGATGTTACCATCGCTTGCGGTGGTCTGATAAATAATGGCCATAATTATCCTGATCGAGAAACCTCCCGACTTTATTTCTGTGGACAACCGCACCTTTGTTAACTTTAACAAAGCTGACTGGGTCGGCTTCCCAGAATTTACCGTGAGAAACTTCGTCGTACTACTCATTCCTTCGGACGTCATCGTTGGACTATGAACTACCTGCGTGGTCAACAATTATCTGTACTGTTTTGAGGCCAAACATCTTAAATAAGAAGAATTAAACACGTGTCCTCTCTCCGCTACTGTTTAATTTCTACATCTCGAAACTCCTCCAAGCACCAGAGGGAATTTCCATGACTTCGTACGCTGATGACTGTACGATATTGACGTCGGGCAATGGAATCGATGGATCCTCGGTTCTTCTCTGCAAGGATCTTTACACTTTCCCCCACTAAATCCACAACGACCATTTTTACAAACTGGACGAAGGAGTACAGACTGGATCTAAACAGTTCAGTCGATGGAGTCAAAATTCCGATGGTCAACAACTCTTAAATTTTAGGTGTTACATTAGACAGCCTGTGCTCCTTCACTCCTCATACGACTGCGACAGCTGCCAAAGTACAGAGCCGCAACAAATTCTTAAAATCGCTTGCTGGCAGCTCTTGGGAAAAATACAAAGAAACGTTGCTAGCAAGGTACAAAGAAATCGGCGGGGCGATTTTAAATTACGCTGCACCGATATGAAAACTTATACTTATCCAGAATCGACCCCGACATACCAAATATATGTCCTGCATGCAATGAGTCTCCGGATGACACTAACCTCTTCTTTGCATGCGCAGCGAACTCCACTCATTTAACATCCATTTCCCTATGGTCCGACCCCGTCGAAAACAGTTCGTTTTCTGTCCCTGTCGTTAGATGACCTCGACGACAACTAAACTGAAACTTACCACCCAAGCGGGTGTGGCAATTACAAATGCAACTCTGCAAGAGTTATTAATAAGTCAGATATGTCAACATTCAACCTACACTATCTGTCATGCTGACGTACCTACATCTCTTTTTTCATCACGCATCGTCCAGCTGTAAGCACGTCATCATTATTTTCGTATGTAATCACATTATATCATTTTTTGGAAAGTAAATAAATCGAATATTATTGTGGACATCCTACACGAGTATTAGATAACCGTTACAACAACAACAACACAGAATGATCTCAGCAGAAGCAGCAGTAAACAGTAATCGCGCAACAAGAAACCTGCAGGCACCAACAATCATGCAGGTATCAACAAACGTACTGACACCTACTAAAAAAGGAGCAACTATTGAAATTGGTATTGACCGCTACGTAAACATTAAAAGGAAATCAAGTCCTATAAAACAGCGAAGAGTTCCATCACAGTCACTAATACCAAACCGCCTCCAATATATTTGCGTGAACGTAGTTCGAATGCTCTTGTGCCCAAATTAAGTGACGTTGTGGGCCAAAACAATTTCCATATAGTGCCCTTGAAAAAGGGTAACATCGATGAAATCAAAATCCAAACATACACGGAAAAAAGCTTTATGGAAATCGTTAAAGAATGTGGTTATGAGGTTAAAGCTGTAGTAAATATCTTCAATAGAAATAAAGTACCACAACCAATGTTCATGATTGATTCGATATACAATTTAAAATATTGTAACGGATTTCTCGATAAATCGTCTACCTGTAACTCACTCTTGAGTTCGATCACTGGATTGTTAAATAAAAGTCCCAATTCAATGGCTACACACTTATCTTTATTTCTAATTCCAACAACTTAACACTTATTGCTCGTTATTCGAGCTTACAACTTCTTGCTTATAGCTTAATTGCTCTTATCACGACAACACTCTAACTAGAACTGTGTTTGCTGTACAATCCGGCAGCCCTTATATAGTAAATCTGTAACAAAACATTGCTTCTAGAACATTCTGGCAACTACGAATTCGCTAACTAGCTGCTTCTGGCAGTTTATAGTTGATTCGATTTTGTTCTATCATCCGTGTTCGTCACAATATCTCTTATCTCTTAGAATTACCGTTGAAGAATCTCATAAAAGATATGGTCTGGTACACTCTAAGCAGTGTTTTGTAGTATGTGGTGATATAAAATAGCATTTAACGAAGCAGTGTAGCAATTGTAGAGGAAATCGCACTGCTAATTCGTTGTCTTGTATATAAAGACTTGAAATCGAAGTTGTCAATCGGAATTCAAGCACGCCGAAACCAAATGACAAACATCTCACGTACGAAATTTTTGAATTCGCTGACCAGAGTTCATAACCTGGCAATGTTAAGAATAATGTGGTCCAAGGAAGTTATGCTAATGTGGTAAAAGATAACACTGTACCAACCTTAAACTTTACTCAATGTATGACCCAATTTATGTCTAGAATGCAAAATATGATTCAAGATTTAATCAAAGCGCAAAACCAAATGCTGCGAACTAAATATTTGTATATGGAATGCTAACTAAATTGGAGATTATTAGGCTTCTAAATCAAAATAAAAATATAGATGTAATGTTATTATCGGAAACGTATCTAAAAAATAAGCACAATTTTTATACTCTCGCAACTTATTGCTACAGAGTATAATAGTTTAGTTCAATTAACCGTTGTTTGTGTAAATGACCAAAATAAATATTGCTTTTGTTTATTTAAGTCTGTTTATTCAAAGTTTGTTTATTCAACGTTTGTTTATTTAAATTTTGTTTATTCAAAGTATAAATTTTATTTAACTGAATAAACCTCGCAACTCGCGCTACGTTGCCTGTCCTGTCTCGTTGCCTCGTTTCGACTGACTACTCGTTGTCTGCCTTGCCACACCGTTCATCCACTAGCCTCTTGTTTTCCTGTACTTTGCGATATAACCGCTGACCTTGCCATATATAGTCATCTTTCAGTTGCTGTGCGTTAAATGTTTCTTTGCCGTTTAAAACTTCGATAAATTCTTTTAATGTCTCGTCTTGTCTTTGCATCGCCGATACCCAATCGTTGTCAATTTTCACCACGGGATAAATTGATTCGGCGATCGTTGTTGGTTCTACTGGTGGAAGCGTTGGACATATGCTTAACCCATCAGCTAACGTATTCTTTCCCCTGGTCGTATGCCTTTACTGTCTATATCATGCCCCAGGAAACGTACATGCTGCGCTAAAAATGTACATTTGGATGGTCTAAGCGTAAGACCTGACGCTTTTACGGCTTCAAGAAATTCTTTAAGTACATCGATAGTTGACCACTT